AGAAAAAAGAAAGAAAAAAAAAAAAAAAAAAAAAAAAAAAAAAAAAAAAAACTGTCTCAGATCTGGCATAGTTCTCTTAGCCTTAAATGTCCCACAATTAAGAAGGCTACACATGGCTGTCGAGCGATGCAATCGTGGCTGACGAAAGCATTGGGGTCCGATAGATGTACGTGTATAAATGTGTATAAAAACGATTTGATACTGCAGACACAGGGGGGAGGGAGGGGAGGGGAAGGAGTTGCCAAGTAGCGAGAAACGTTGAATTTTTGTAACTGTGATATGCGTTACTAAAGGCTCTAGGCGGTATTGTTCAAAGATAGAAATAGAAAAAAAGAGAGAAAGAGAGAGAGAGAGAGAATGAGAGTGAGAGTGAGAGTGAGAGAATTTTCCTTTTCTCCGTTTTCCTTTTTAAGGATAGAGATTAGATAATCGTAATCGTATATTATCAGGAGTGTACATAGGCATTTCATAGCGACTGAGTTTAAATTTAACATTTCTTTCTCCGTTCTATTTTTCTTTCTTCGTTTTGATCCTGGCCAACGCGTGGCCCAGGATTTAGTTCAAAAAGGCGTTCGTGTGTAATTGGAATGTGTGCTTGATCGTCTCGCCTAATTTTCACGATCATAGTGTCACGTTCTTCGCAGAAAGGATTTTGATATAAAAAAAAAAAAAAAAAAAAAGGAAAAACAAAAAACTCCCTTTGATCCTAAACCCTGTGTAAAGTTCTCGATCAAGTCTATCCATCGAATTGTCCAAAGTATTTGAGACATTTTTTTTTTATTTTTTTTTCCGAATTTTTTTGTAAAATGTGTAGCTATCCGCGAGAATGTTCAATTTATTTATTTTTACTTTCAATTTATAAAAATATTTTCTGGGAAAGAGATTTGAGCGAAAATTATTGGAAATTTTTTTTTTTTTTTTTTTTCCAATTCAAATTTTCGAAAACACGTACATGCTCACATAAGTATCGAAAGATGAAAGTAGATGCAACTGTTCTCACATGAAGATATTATAGATATTCAGGTTATGTAAAAAAAAGGTATTGATATTATTATTCCTTTCTGCATAATAGCCTGTTGTACGATTAAAACAGGAGGCACTGTGATTATCGTGACGACAGCCAGCCAATCCCTATTTTCTACTTAATCCCTATCCTTAATGTTTACCTAATCTAAAGTCAATATTTTTTTAAGCTAACTAGTTCGAGCGGTACAGAATCGAATAATAAAAGAGAAACTGACAACGTTTTCCAATTTCCATTCCCTGTTAGAACTCTCCACTGCGTTGCCGAAAGTCAATACGAGATAATTCATGTTCCAGTATCAAGTGAGATAGGCTCTCTAATTTATTTCTTAAAACTTAACTCAATTACCTAGACCTTTTGATCCTATTTTCCCAGTGTACGTGTCTATAAAGCCTGTGTGTCAAGGCTCGATCATCTTCGATGGAGAAAATGTTCGATACATCACAAATAAAACGTAAATGTCAAAATTTTGAATTTTTTTTCATTTGCACGGCCAAGATTGATTAATATTGATATATTTGAACGCAAGAAAAATATGAATTTTATGATAGATTTTTTTTTAGGATCAATTCCCTAAGGATATGTCACAGTCATTTCCCAAATTAATTTCCAACCACCGAACCGACGTGACTCGAAAATTATAGGTTATAAGTAGTAATATTAAATTTTGATTTTAATCTTTTATTTAATTTTTCTTATATTATAGAAATAATTAATTATAATTAAATGAAATTATATAAAGTATTTTGATATTATACACTCTAATACAGTTTTATAGTATATTTGTAGAATTGATATTTATAATAACTAAGTAGAAAAGTGAAGTGAACAAAAGTTAATTAATGAATTTAATTAAATTAGGGAGAATTTTGTTTCCATATTATAGTTGCAAATTTGTGATTTCTTTTTTTATCATGAATTATTTTCTTTCATTTCGTCAAATATAAAGTGGAATTTTATGTATCAATCATCAGAAATGCTACGAACTTTCTAAACAACCCAATACTATTAATCTCGTTTCTAGTAATATATCTTTAATATACTAATTATCCAGTGTATTCTATCATTTTGAGTAACTAATCTATATCTTTTAAATTTTTCACAAACATCAGATCTCAACATCCCATCAAGTGAATTTAATCCATCAAAATGATAGAACTATTTTTATGGAATTTAATATAATCTAAGACTCTTTACAAAAATAAAATAAATCTAATACGTATTTTGGTCAGTCTTAATCCTCTTAACTTGTGGATTTTTATAGTGAAATAGATACACAATGGCAAATCGAGAAAACAAAGATAGAAAAATCAGACATATTCGATTGAATGCATTCGATGTCAAGATTGAAGAAAGTGTAGGATGGATGATTCCGGCTTTCTAACAGTTTCAGTTTTCGATAGATCGGATCGCGGAACATCGTGAATATTCACGAGCAATAGAAAGCAAAAGTTATCACGATCGGTATTTTTGTAACTCGAATGAATTTGTCAAAGGCGAGAAAAAATTTTTTATTTTTCCTAATAAACTATTTGTAGATAAAAAAAAAAAATGTTTCAAAAGAAGAAAAACCTAATTTCATATATAATTATAGTTATTGTACTTATATTGATTCTCAGTTAATATCGTTTTAGATTCTAAATAATCCTAGAAATTTGACAAGCAAGTAATTTAGATAGAGATTAAATAAATCTAGGTAAAATACGTCGGTATTTTCTCAAAAGAATAAACACGAAAATCATTCGATTTTCAACGCGAAAAACTCGAAAAAAAAATCAGCTGCGTATTTCTAACATGGCTGTTTATTTGTGATTATCGAAAAACCTTTAGCTGCCGACATCATAATTTTAATTAGTTTTTAATCAGCATCCATTTGCTGCTCATTTGTGATCATAGTGTTATTATTTCTACAGCTGTCTTGTGATTGAATTAAACCTTTGATTGTATTAAATGTACCAATTAATTATATTTTGTATACTGATTTCACCGTTAGTTGCTTTATTTTCCCAATTGTTTTTCTCGTTTCGAATTAATTTAATAAAGAGTGTACAGACAGTGTACATGATCTACACAGTGTAAGTGTTCAATTTAAACTTTTTTTCCTCACTAAGAGGTTTTTTCCTGTAGGAATACAACTTCGAAAAAACTTATTCATATGCTCGTCTTGATTTTCAGATCTCTTTCTTTCTTTTTTCTCACTCACTGTCGTTTTCTGCATTTGACAAAGAAAACTCGAACTTAAGTTAGGTTAGTTGAGGTTAAGTAAGTGATCAAATTTCAATATCACTATTTCATAAGTACCATAAAAGTTTGCACTATACAATTTTCGAGCAATGTTATCCAACGTTTACCCTATTTCTAAATTTTTTGATTTTTTCTTTTCGCTCATTGCTTTTTTATATATGTTCAACGAAATGTTTGGCTCAGTTATATTAACTTATACACAGTTATATTATTAAATTAAATTAATTAAAAAATTATTTCAGATTAAAATTACGTCAGAAAAATTGCAGAAAAGTTATTCAAATTTATTGTATATCATTTGTAATCATTGTATAGCTTCGATTACCCCAATCATTGGGGTGAATACCCCAATTTTTAAATCCCCATTTTTATAATTAATCGCGAAGAGACCAATAGAATGGTTTAATTCGCTCAAGTTTGACGAAAGCACAGTTATTTTCTTAGCAAGTTCTTTCGCGTCTCAATTCCACGATCGATAATTACGCAATTTCGTGCCAGTCACGTCGGTTCCACGCTAACGACGCCATTTTTCTCGCGGTTAGCACAATTTTAATTGACCCGCCCCGGGTGCCGAGTGACAGGTCTCTGTTTGCTTGGCAGACCTCTGTTCACGTGCGTTTCATATAATTAAATCCGGTTGACGATCGTTCCAATGAAAGTTCATTGCGCAATTGTTCGTCGCGTATATGGAAGGGTTTGAACCGCGGTCGAAAGAAATAGAAGCAACACGATAGAATGTTGCCCCCCGTGGTTCTTTCGTTGGGAAACACTTTTTAGGAGCGAACATATCGATCAAGATTTAATTTGAAACGAGCATGTTGTTATATTTAAAAAGAATTACATTCTATCTAAATAAAACGCGCTTCGAAGATCGCACTTTCCCGATTTTTTCCCTTTTTTAAAATTTAATCTGATTCAAATTCGTGGTCGAAAAAGAATGCCTCGAATAATTTTCTTAAAATTCTTCGAATCACGAAATCAATTAAAATTACACAATTAATTACACAATTAAAATTTTCTAATCCACAAAGTTTAAGTCATTCGTACGAAATTCGTTCGAGGGTATGAATTTTAGGCCAACTTCACGCTAACACGGCCCCATGATCCGTAGACGCAATTATACAGGCGATTACAGGCGTAATAAGACGATGCACCAGGTTCAAGAGGAAGGTGGGGTGGTAGCGCAGGCGTGAAAGTCTTCAGTTTCACTTGTCTTCCAAGAGATCTACCTTGGCGGGCAGTAGGAGAAGAAAACAGTGAACCTCGCCGTTCGAACGGATCCAGAAGCGAAATCGTGCTCGTGCCGCGCGCAATGCGCCTCCTCGATCGACCGGAAAACGGAAATAAGCTCGATCTCGCCGCGGATGAAAAAAAAACGAAGCCATCGAATTGTGATTTCCTGTGTGATTCAGTTCTTCGAAACGCGATACCAACGCGTGAATTTCTCTCACGCGTTCAATTTTAATAACCACCGTTGCTGGACCATCTCTGGAAAGTGGAAAAAAATAAACTCGTTAAAAATAATTTTCACAACTACTACCAATAAGACGCTTGTCTTGAGATAAGAAAATTTCTTTCTTACATTTCTTTCCAGAGTATATACATATATATATATATATAATTTCAATGTGATCGTTCGAAAAAAATTCGAGGCAAAATTCGGAAGGGTAGCTCTAATTTTGGACGTTGAAAAAAAATAGAGTTGTCAAAATTAGGGAAGAAAGTTTTATTTCACGGCGAAGAGAGGGGAAGGAAGGGACGAAGAAATGAAAATGCCAACCGAATCGTCGATATACTGGGACTCGATCGGTTCCCAGCATTCCATTTCTGTCGGTAGTTCGGGGGACGGTTGCAGCTCGGCAAGTGCGAGCAGGCATTACGTGGATCCGTGGGATCTCGAGAATTATGCGTACCTTCGTCGACACAGCGTGGCTGGCGTAGCGCAACAGGTTCCTCCTCGGCATCGTCGGCGATCGGCTTATCGGCTGTCCCAAGACGCACGTGCTCACTCCGAATATTGGTGAGTGGTCACGAGCAAATTTCAACCACCAATTGGCCTGACTCTTGGCCAATTTTCTTTGATCGTGTTGGCAATCGAAGGTTGGCAATGGAAGTTCTGGAACAGTTTTCAAAAATCAATCGATGAAAATTTAGAGTATAATTCATTTATAAAGTTATGATCGAGGTTTATCATATGTGAAATGATGATTTTAAAATTGTTCAAGTGGACATTTGCCTTCGTCCAAACCAATTTAGTTTTAACTTGACGGTAATCAGACGAAAGTTTGTAATAAAATTGGCTAATGTGATAATAGGGATATCCTTTGCCCCCTAGGGGTAACTAACTTCGCATAATCGTCGGAGTGGAGGAATTTGATTAAAACTTTTTAATAGTTTTCAACCGTTAATTAATTTTAAAACTTAAAGGCAAAAGTCGATTTTAATTTTTGATTTTTTAATTTTTGATTTTCAAGTTTTCTACTTCAAATTACGAGAATTATTTATTAGCGGTTTCCTAGAAATTACTGCAAATTTGAACGTATGTGTGCATTTTACTGTAACTAGAAATGTTAATTAAGTGAGACTGGCAGATCGAATCTGATAAAATTCTCATTAATTAAAATGGTAAAACTAATTGTTGACATTTGAGATTATGATCGCTTATGATCTAAATAACGAGCAATTTCTCGTTCTTCGAAGTAATCAAACTTCTTACATGTTAAAAATCTACATATCTAAAATCCTTCGATTTTACAAATTCATAAAAATTGGAATGAAGAATTTTTTTCATTTTGAATAGAATCTTTATTTATAACGATTTCTATCATAGTTTGTCACAAGACAGAGGGTAAACAATTTCATTTTTTCATTCTCTCAAAGATTTTGACAATTGGAAAGAAAACTAAGAATTCTTTACAAATGGAATATGATTTATTTCCACGATTAATTTTTCACGAAACTATAATAATTCTATAATTCCATGCATGTAGCTTTCATGTACAACAACGTGATCGTTAAAAAAAGGAAAAATCGTAAATAAACGTTGCAAATTAATGACAAATTATGTGAACTACTAAATTCCACGAAATTTCCAATTAAAAATACTTGAGAAGATATAACGAATTTCGCAAAGCATGCTCGAATTTCCAGTTTTAAAAACGTTTTCGTCGATCGCTCTCTGTCTCTTTTTCTGTTTGGGATTACATAAACTCGCATCGTTTATGGTATTAATATTTTTTCTTTTTCTTTTTTTTTTTTTTTTTTTTTTTT